TGATTTCATCATCACTTAAACCGAAGGTCTATTATTTTTCACTTTATGTTTCTGTGTGAGAGCAAACTGTTGAAATCCTTACTTAATGTATAACTAAGCTGATCTTCTGTCTATTAAGATAATCGAAAATGAATCTTGATGTGAATGGAAGGGGAGAGGGAGTGGGAAAGGGGAGGGTTGTGGGTGGGAGGGACGGTATGTGGGGGAAGCCATTGTAATCCATAAATCGTACTTTGGAAATTTATATTCATTAAATAAAAGTTAAAAAAAAAAGAAATTTAGGTTGCTTGGAACAGAGTGCAAGAAGAGGGAATGGTAGAGGAAGGGTAGTTAATGAAAGGGCTTTAAAAGCATGACCTGCCATTTAAACTTTATTCCTAAAGGAAATGGGCAAAAGTTGAAGGCTTTCATCTGGAAGAGTGGCAAGGATCATCAAGCAGCATTTCATTTTGAATTGTTAAACAAAAATGTAGGGGGCTATTGTTTTGGACTAGGCTCCTGGATTTGTCCCCCTCACTCCCCCACCCCCCATAGGGCAGACCAAAATGGAGTCACTCATACTAAATGCCATATCATCAAATTGAAACAAGTAGATGCCTAGTTTTTGCTGAAAGTAGATTTCTGTCTACCTGAATCAGTATAATAAGAACTCAGGTCATTTCCTTGCTCCCACTTTAAAAACTCACTGTTCTGCATTGCCTGTTAAGAGCTCTTAATTTTTTTTTTTTTTTTTGTATGATGATGGATGCTGCCCCAAATCATGAATTATACATAAAAGTCAATTACATCTATAACTAAATTTGTTGTAATTTTGTCTTTTGACATTTCTGGTGACTAACAAAGGGACCTGAAGGATACTGCTGATGACTCTAGATACCCCATGAGGAATACAGGAGAGGTGCCATGGACCTCCTTTGCATCCTGTCTTCCTTGTGGCATCCTAGGGGTTGTGAAGAAGTTCCTCTTGAATCACTCTGCCATTTTTCCATTGAGCACTTTGATCTTTTTGTCTTTCAAATCCAGGGTTTATACTGTGAAAGAGCATATGACCTTTTGGGGTTTGTGGTGGGTGACAAGACACTGGCAGAGCAGAAGTCATGAAGAGAAACAGAACTGAGTTCTGTAGAGAGGCCTCAAGTATCAGAGTCAGATTGAGACTGACAGTAAATGGCATTTTTTGCAGGAGATGTAACTCTGGCTTTCAGAAATCCATAGGGATTTTGTGTTTTGTCCTCTTTTCTCTTTTTGCTTTTTCTTTCTTTCCTTCCTTCCTTTCCTTCTTTTGTGAACTTAGATAGGGGAAAAATCACTACCTACAAGTGATCTCAGAGTCAAAGCCACAGCTTGACTGGTGGGCACAGGTTGCACTGAAGAGCAATTAGAGCACTCACCAACAAAAAGATTCATGCTTCTCAGCCTTTTGGCTAAGATCAAGTGAAGATAAGCTGGACACAGGGTAAGTACCCACCAGCTGCAAGCAAATGTGCATGCAAGGAACTACTGTATGAAATGATTATATGCCTCAATCTTGGGGCATTTTCCTCTTAGTCTTTTATCAAAGCTCTGCAAGACCTATGTTAAAAATGGGATCCTTAATTTCTTAAAAACTAAGTATTTCCCGTTCTGGGTACTTTTGCCTTTTATTTGTAGAAGCCCCACAAGCTTCAAATACTTTTTACAATTATAAAATTTTAATAAAACTAATTTAGAATTATATTTGCCTACTATATATTTTCCCTTACCTGTAGTAACTAATAGAGTAGCAAAAATGTAATGTATAGGAGTGAAATTGACATTTTGAGCTTCAATGATTGAAGCCCTTGTCTCTACTGCTGAGGGACAGTGTTTTTTTCTTAATACTATTTGTTGAACTCGTTAATTAGTGTAGGGTTAAATTTATGAGTGTAATGTAAACTGAAAGTACATAATTGTAAAAGTTAAGAGAAGGAATAGGAGAGGAAGGAGGCGGAAGAATAGGAGTTTGGGCGGGGGGTTGGGGGGAAGGTAAGGTTGGAAGTATTCCTAAATCTGTATACATGAAATACATGAAATTTATATATCTTAAATAAAATTTAAAAACAATGTATAGGAATGAAATAGACATCTTAAGACAGGATTGTCATTTTTAGCCCTTGTTTATATTACTGTGGAACTGTAGTCTTCCTACTTTTTACTTGTTGAAAATTATAGTTAGTGGTGATTTAAGCCTGTGATTATAAAGTGGATTAAAATTGTCTGTAAAAATTAATGAAAAGAAAACAAGGGAGGGGATGTGGGGGATTAGGTGAAGGAAAGAGGTAGGGAGAGAAGTATGGTTATCTCCTTAGAACTGTATCTATGAAATACATGAAATCTGTTCTCTTTATATTAATAAAAATAAAAAAAATGGAATAAAAAATTACATTTTCCATTATTTAGGCATTTGAACTAGCCATTAAGATGCTGAATGCCTCCCCAGACAGGGCTGTGGCATAGCAGATTAAGCTGCCACCTGCAGTGCCACATCCCATGTGGGCACCAGTTTGAGTCCTTGCTGCTGCTCTTTCCATCCAGCTCCCTCCTAATGTGCCTGGGAAAAAAACTGCTGGCTTCAGATGGCCCAGCTCCAGCCATTGTGGCCACTTGGGGAGTGAACCAGCAGATGGAAGATCTCACCCTGTCTCTTTGTAAATATGCCTCTCAAATAACTAAATATTTAAAAAATTAATTTATGGTAATTAAAACTAGAAATGGTTAAGAATAATTACTTCTTAGGCAAGAAAAGTAAGGTATGTTTTTGTTAAGGGAAAAAGAAGTAATTTTCATCCTAAAGTATAATGACTGGTTGTTTGAATATGAGAAATGAGAAAAGGTATAGGACAAATAAGTGAAGGGATAACAGCTTGTAGAAGGTTTGTGGAACAGGAATACTGTGAAAGGAATTTTATGTGTGATCAGCTAGCTAAAATTAAAAGAGAATTATTTATAAAACTGTCTAAGAGTTGAGCTTTAATATCAAAGGTACATTGATGCAAAACAAGAATGTCCTCTCTGGTAAAACGTTTTCTTAGAGTATTGATCTACTCTTGATGGGAAATTGTGAAGTTTTTCTTTATGTTTTAGATAGTTGACAAGGAAAAAGAAAAGCTTTTGTCTTACCAAGATAATTTCTTATGCTTCACAATATCGTTTATTAGGTCTTTGACTATTTAAGAAAAATGAGTCTTCTCCATATTAAAAATGCTGTTTTTTTTTTAATCACAACTATGTAACCTCCTATATTTGCCTTTAAAATAATTTTTCATTGATTAAATAGATAACCAGATCATGTTTTTAAAAAAGAGTTGTATGCCGGGAATTCCATCCAGATCTCCCAGGTGGTTGGTAGGGACCCATGTACCTGGGCCATCATCCACTGCTTTCTCTGGCACATTAGCAGGAAGTTGGATCCCAAGCCAAGAAGAAGGGACTTGAATCAGTACTTGTAATGAGACTCTAGATATCTTGTAATTTTTCCTTTTTCAAATGTCTATCCCTTTCACTTGGGAAGACAATATTGGAAATAGAATTTCACAATCAGTAGACTGGAAGAGTTTACAATAGTTAGCTGAAAATGTCTTTATGTCACCATCATTTTTGGTAGTTTTGCTGGTTGGCTAGAAGTTGAGTTATCTATATTTCTCAAATTTAAAAAATGTATTTATTTCATTTATTTTAAAGGCAGAGAGACAGTGAGATATCTCTCTCATGTTGGTTTACTCTCTGAATGCCCACAAACAGGAGGGGCTGGGCCAGTTTGAAAGTAGCAGCCCAGAACTGGGTCTCCTATGTTGGTGTCAGGGACCCAAGTACTTGAACCATCACCTGCTGCCTACTAGAGTGTACATTACTAGAAGCTGGATAGAATGACAGAAGCAAATTAAAGTCCCCTAGTATTAAGGAGACTTAGTATTTCTCCTTATATATTATAATTTGTTTTATGAAAGTTGCTGTTATTTGGTGTGCTATTGTAAGTATTATAGTTTCCTTATGAACTATATAGTGCACTTCTTTGCCTTATGCCTTTTGGTTTGAATTCTACTTTGCTTTCTTAAAATCATGATCTTGAATTATTTTTAATTGCATTGAAAGTTATGCCATTGCCCATCCTTAAACTTCAATGTATGTTTCAGGTATCTCTACTATACTACATAATATAGTATGGATTTAGTTTGATCCAAACTGAACACTTCAATAGATGAGAAAAGCCTATTCACTGATTATATGTAGGGTCTTAATTATTCTTAAAAAGTAATTTTAGTTATCCTGCCATTTAGGAAGATTTGTATCTTTGATTCAGTGATCATTGTATATTTCTACACTTACATAATATCCATCTTTATACTTCTATATTTATATAATACCGTTAAGCCCTGTTTCTTCATAGTATCTGTTTCTCTTCAATGAATAATAAAATATTAGCTTGTATTGAGTCTTCCTACCTACCTCCCACTATACAATTTCAGGCACTATTATCCTTTACTTTTATACTTGTAAGTTTGCTTAAAATTCTGCTACTTGGTTTGTCAGTTTTAAGTTATACATACCTTTTGACTGTGAATATATGAAACAATCAGAGTTTATTCCATAATCTACCTTTTCTCCTTGTCTCACTTTTTGTTAGATGATTTCTACACTGTCAGAATATAAAATATTTAGATATTATTTTATCACACTTGCCCCACCTTTGTCTTCATGTTATTTCTAAACTTGCATTTAAACTTATTCACTATTCAGTGCTAGTCCTTTTGCCCATATTTCCTCAACCACCACTTATTTCACTTAAACTTGCCCTTACCCTTGATTATTTGGGTGATACAGAAATTTAGGTTCAAAATCAGATCAAAATAAGTTGTCCTCAAACTAGGACACTAATCCCATATAGGAGTATAACTATCCTGGGGATAGCACTCAATTCATTTACATTTTTATTTCAATACTGGTGGGAAATTCTACAGGTACACAAACAGAAGGAGAAAGCAAAGTGGGGATGGGCAAATTGTTCAGCTGCTTACCCCAAAGACTCAGTCAGCTTGATATTTTCCTCCGTTTGTACTCTCCTTATTTGCTCTTCTTACGCACTGGTTTTCTCCACAGCTATCCTATGAAGAATGGGCTCTCATCTCAACCTCAGACTTCGTCTTGTATGACCTTACCTGTAGTTCCTTTAATATTTTCCCATTTACCTTCCATCTTCTAGAACTTGAAAATATCTACTGCATTAATATTGCCCTCCACCCCCATTCTCAATACTGTTATTTTTTTCTGTGATTATATTATTTCAGCAGTATTTGAGAAGAAATGTGTGCTTGCTGTTGCTGTCTTGAATTGGAAGTTGTATTTCCAATATTCTAATCAGTAGTTTGTCACTGGTGAGAAAGAAGGCATTCCCACTGCAAAGACTCTCTGTCATGTTGGTGCACCAAATGTAATTTTTAAAAATTAGGTATTTTTGCTCATTTTGTTCATTTAATTTATCCAGAAATAGTTTTATTTTTATCACAGTTTATTGACTGCAAAGTTGAGATTACAGTATATGAAAAAAAAATCTTACAGCGTATAAAGCAGAGTATAACTGGGTGTGAGTAAAAAGAGTATGGGATAAAAAAAGGCATTCCTCTACCATTCAGTAGAGAAATAACTATCTATCTGAACAATTACTTTGTGTACTATAAAATGAGCATGTTAAGCGAGATAAGGCTTGTCTACCTTTAACAGTTTATGATTCTGTATCTTGATTTTTGGCAAGTTTACATTAAACCTAATTAAGGAAAAATGCAAATATTACTTTAGATAAAAGGTAAGAAAATAGGGTGATCTTCACTCTATATAGGTTTATAGAGTTTTAAAGGGTACTAGAGGCAATAGGAGTAGTACTTAAAAGTCAGCAGACTCATAGAATGGCGGATGTCCTAAATAGCACTCTGGCCTCAGAATCAGCCCTAAAGGCACTCGGATCTGGCTGAAAAGCCCATGAGAGTATTTCAGGCATGGAAAGCCAAGACACTCTGGCAAAAAGATCTCTGTGAGTGAGATCCCAGTGGAAAGAACAGGTCTTCAAAGAGGGAGGTGCCTTTCTCTGAAGGGAGGAGAGAACCTCCACTTTGACTATGACCGTGTCTAAACAAGATAAGAGTCGGAGAACTCAAGGGGCTTCCATAGCCTTGGAAACTCATAACTGGTGCATAGGGAGATTACTGATGCCATAAACAGGAGTGTCAATTGGTAAAGTCAACAACAGGAGTCACTGTGCACTTACTCCTCATGTAGGATCTCTGTCCTTAACGTGCTGTACACTGAGGCTTAATGCTATAATGAGTACTCAAACAGTATATTTCACTTTGTGTTTCTATGGGGGTGCAAACGACTGAAATCTTTACTTAATGTACACTAAACTGATCTTCTGTAAAAAAAAAAAAAAAAAAAAAAAAAAAGAAAGAAATTATCAATTCCCAACTTGACTCTCACTGGGATTAAACATGACAATAGGTCTGATCTGATTTCATCATCATTTAAAAAAAATCATCTGTTATTTTTCACTTTATGTTTTTGTGTGGGAGCAAACTGTTGAAATACTTACTTAAGGTATACTAAGCTGATCTTCTGTATATTAAGATAATCGAAAATGAATCTTGATGTGAATGGAAGGGGAGAGGGAGTGGGAAAGGGGAGGGTGGTGGGTGGGAGGGACGGTATGGGGGGGGAAGCCATTGTAACACATGAGTCGTACTTTGGAAATTTATATTCATTAAATAAAAGATAAAAAAAAAAGAAGAAAAAAAAAAAAGAAAAAAAAAAGTAAAATAAAGCCTCCAAAATTTTTATTATAATTTACTTCATTCACTAAATTGCTTTGTTACATAAGATTGTCAAGCCTCCAGAAGCCCCAGTCTGTAGAGTTTAGCTTAGGCTTCTATAGGAGATAGGACAGTAAGTAGGAGAGGATCTGCTGTACTGAAGAAAAATTAAGAAGCAACTTGACTAGGAATGTTTGTCAAGATTCAGAAAGCTAGGGCTGGCACTGTGGCGTAGCAGGTAAAACTGCTGCCTGCAGCACCGGCATCCCATATGGATGCCGCTTCAAGTCCTGGCTGCTCCATTTCTGATCCAGCTCCCTGCTAACGTGCCTGAGAAAGCAGCAGAGGATGACCCAAGTACTTGGACCCCTGCACCTTTGTGGGAAACCCAGAAGAAGCTCCTGGCTTCGGACTGGCCCAACTCTACATTGCAGCCATTTGGGGAATGAACCAGTGGATGGAAGACCTCTTTCTCTCTCTCTCTCTCTCTGCCTCTCTGACTGTGACTTTCAAATAAATAAATAAATATTTAAAAAAAAAGATTCAGAAAGATAAGTTGGAAAGCTGTCTGGCTTAGCAAGTGGGTAGAGGAAAGGCCCAGGGAGATATCATAACCAGTTTCCTGATATACAGCTTATTTTCATACTTGTTCTTTTTGCTTAGATAATCATGTCACCCCTATGTACCGTGTGCACGTTAGGAGAAGGCAATTCCATCACTAATTCTCATAGCTAAGCATATGCTCAGGCCTAAGTACATCATAATCCCACTCATAAAATACAGTCTTGAGTTAACTAATGGGCATGTAACTCAGTACCTGTAGGACACAAAGAACGGTTTTCTGAGGACATCCGAAAAACTCCCTTGCTCTCCAGAAACAATCCAGACTTGTTCTTTATGGAGCTAGGCAAAGTACCTGTACATCCACAAGCCAGCCTTAAAATAAAACTGGCACCATCTGGAAGGCAAAATTGAAGGTTGAAGACAAACTGGTTCTTCAGTTATACCACGGATCATCTAGGCTATACCAATCTTAAAACTTCCACACTGTCTACAGATTTCTCTAAAATTAACTAATTTATTTGAGGGAGTACCAAAGAGCTATCATCCATTAGTTCACTCTTCAAATGCCTGCAACCACCTGTGAAGCTGGGAGCTGAGGGTGGCAGGGACCCAACTACTTGAACCATTTCCCACTGCCTCTCCAGGTACACATTAGTAGGAAGCTGAAATTGGGAAGTAGAGCTGAGAAGCTACCAAGGTACTCCAATATAGAATGCAGATGCTCTAACCAACTTCTTAATTGCTATGCCAAATTCCTGCCCCTATTTAAGTAAATTTGCATAGGATTTTCTTTCCCTTGCAACTGGAAACATCTTAACATATCAGAGATACAAAGACCCCTTATTTGTAACAGACTTGAAAATATTTAACAGATGAGGCCAAACTAAGGTGAAATCCAAATTATTAAGTCATTGTTATGTGCACTTACTCTGTGGCTGCAATTATTCATGAGTCAGATTACATAAACATGAGCTCTTAATGTACAACTTTAGAAAAAAATGACAACGTAAAAACAGCTATAGATGGATGGCTAAACATTTCAGTTTGTTCATGCCAGTTACAATTTATTCTTGTTGTCCTGGCATAATTATTAATATCACCTCATCATTCTCAAGTGTCCCAGTTTACAGCCAGGCTGGGTCAAGCTGAAGCAAAGAGCCAGGAACTCCAACTGGGTCTCCTACTTGGGTGTCAAGGACCCAGGTACTTGGGGCATCATCTGCTGCTTTCTCAGGTGCTATTAGCAAGAAGCTAGATTGAAAAGATACGGGATGTGGGCAATCCTAATTTGATACCTTAAATTGCTGCACCACAACACCTGCCCCCTTTCTTAGCACTTTAAGCAACACCTATCATTTGCACCTCTGTGTTCCTCATAAAAGAATTGTTAGAAGTCACATAATCGTGAAACAAGTTGATAGCTTGTTGAGTCAAATTAAGCCGCAGGCTCCACTCCTGGTGGTGCCCTTCCGTCAATTCCTTCAGCTTTGCAATCATACTCCCCCCGGAACCCAAAGACTTTGGTTTCCTGGAAGCTGCCCGGCGGGTCATGGGAATAACACCGCATCGCCAGTCGGCATCATTTATGGTCGGAACTACGATGGTATCTGATCGTCTTCGAACCTCCGACTTTCGTCTGTGTTCATTTAGCTTCATGATGCTGTGATTTTTGTCCAGACGCACACATTGATTAAACGAAGTTCAAATATGAAGCAAACATACACTGTAGCTGACCAGAATATCCATGAACTTTCATCGTCTTTTAGCACAGATGAGGTAGGGCTGGGGCTGCAGTGTCATGCCTAACCTGGGCTTCAGATTTGGAACTAATTCATGTGGAAAATGCAAATGAAACCGCTGAAGCAGTGCTGTAAAAAATAAGAACATTTCCATCCGTGCCAGCTGTTCTCCAAGACAATGTCTTCTCCCTAAACAAACAAAAAAACGATAGAATAATTTTTAAAAACCCATTATATACCATACCAAAATTAATGTCTAATAGTTGGATGCCATTTAGGAAATTTGGAATTTAAAGGAACTTATGCTTACTAAAGGATTCTTAGATCACAAAAAAATTGGCACTTGGGCTCCCAGAACCCATTCTTTTCTTCCTTTTGTAAGATTTTAGTGTAATCCTCAGGTTCCCTTGCGTGTTGCAACAGAGCCAAAGATATGCTATGCAAGATTTAATTTAAATTCTGACATTTGTTCTATAGATCCAAGAGAAGTCCATTTCATTTCTTTTTTTAAAAACTTTTATTTAATAAATATAAATTTCGAAAGAATAACTTTTGGATTATAGTGGCTTTTCCCCCCATAACACTCTCCCTCTCACAAACCTCTGGTCTCCTACTCCCTCTCCCATCCCATTTTTCATTAAGATTCATTTTTAATTATATTTATATACAGAAGACCAACTTAGTATATACTAAGTAAAGATTTCAACAGATTGCACTCACACAAAGTATAAAGTACTGTTTGAAGACTAGTTTTACCATTAATTCGCATAGTACAACACCTTAAACACAGAGATCCTACATGGGGAGTAAGTGCACAGTGACTCCCATTGTTGATTTAACAACTGACACTCTTATTTATGACGTCATTAATCACCTGAGGCTCTTGTCATGAGCTGCCAAGTTTGAGTTCACAAACTCCGACCTTATTTAGACAAGACCATAATCAAAGTGGAAGTTCTCTCCTCCTTTCAGAGAAAGGTACCTCCTTCTTTGATGGCCCATTCTTTCTGCTGGGATCTCACTCACAGAGATCTTTCATTTAGGTCATTTTTTTGCCAGTGTCTTGGCTTTCCATGCCTGCGAAACTCTCATGGGCTTTTTAGCCAGATCTGAATGCCTTAAGGGCTGATTCTGAGGCCAGAGTGCTGTTTGAGGCACCTGCCATTCTGAGTCTGCTATGTATCCTGCTTCCCATGTTAGAACGTTCTCTCCTTTTTAATTCTATCAATTATTATTAGCAGACACTGGTCTTATTTATGTGATCCCTTTCACACTTAATCCTATCTTTATGATCAATTATGAACTTAAACTGATCACGTTAACTAGTAAGATGGCATTGGTACATGCCAACTTAATGGGATTTGGAGTCCCATGGCATGTTTCTAGCTTTACCTTTAGGGGTAAGTCCGAGTTAGCATGTGCCAAACTGTACATCTCCTCCCTCTCTTATTCCCACTCTTATTTTTGAAGCCCATTTCATTTCAACTGACCAAATAAGTATTTTTCTTTAAAGAGCAGGAGTTTCTGGTCCATTTTTTTTTTTTTTTTTTTTTTTTTTTTTTTTTTAAGATTTATTTATTTGAAAGACAGAGCTACAGAGAGGCAGAGAGAGAGGTCGGTCTTCCACCCTCCGTTTCACTCCCCAGATGGCCACAATGGCCAGGGCTGGGCTGATCTGGAACTTCTTCTGGGTCTCCCACATTGGTGCAGGGGCTTAATGACTTGGGCCATCTTCCACTGCTTTCCCAGGCCATAGCAGAGAGCTGGATCAGAAGTGGAATAGCAGAGACTCAGTGATTGCCCGTATGGGATGCCGGCACTGCAGGTGGCGCCCTTATCAGCTATACCACAATTCAGGCCCCTCCAGCATTCTTGAGATCTATGTACTTTTTTTAAAGCAGAAGGAACATTTTCCTACTTGAAGATGAGGTACAATCATCTGGAAGCCAAGAAATCTAGATTCTAGCTTTACTTCAAAGTGAGCTATGGCCTGACCCGAGTCACTCTATTTTGTTTCTGGATGATCTCTAGTCACTGTTTGTCCTCTATTTTTCTTACCAGTTACACAACCACTGTATTCAAAAACTAGCCTCATAAGAATGTTAACTGTAAAGATTTTTTACATTAAATGCTATGAAAATGTGTCAATGCCTGACACCCCCAACCTCTCACCTCCCAGATAAGCATAACCTTGCTTGTTCTGGCTTCTGTAATGCTTGGCTTTGTAATTAACTCCCAACAGGATGTGGTTTTTGCCTTTATAAACTTACCGCTGAGCTCAATCAGGGTTACATGATCTGGAGAGCACATGCATTCATGCAGCTGGGCTTACAGAAATAAAACTGGCTTTCAGAAATAAAGACAACATAATTCGGCCGTGAGACTTCATTGTCTTCTGTAACTCACTGTTTCAAGATGTAACAACTTCAAATTACTATGTATTTCTCCTTTCTGGGTCTCAATCATTAACTTTTAGCTCTACAAGGCAAAAATCCACAAGAAAGTTTCAGAAGCCATGGCTTCACAACAATTTATCTCTACTTAATAAATTAAGGTTTATTTTGAGTAGAAACAAGCATTAATTACCTCTAACTCAATCACTTCTCCTATATGAATTGATGTTGTGGGACTGGCATTGTGATGCAGCTGATTAAGCTACTTACACTGGCATCTCATATGGGTGCTGGTTCTAGCCCTGGCTGTTCCACTTCTGATCCAGCTCCTTGTTAATGTGCCTGGGAAAGCAGCATCTCCCAGGAGACCCACAGGATGCTCCTGGCTTCTGGTTTCAACCTGGCCCTGCCCCAGCCTTTGTGGGCATTTGGAGAGTGAACCAATGGATGGAAGGTCTCTCTCTGACTACTTACAAATAAATAAATCATATTTTTTGGTAAAAAAAGAATGTGTTTTCAGAGTTGAATTATAAGTATAAAATTTTATATCAGGATGCTTCAGATCAAGATGATGCTATACAAGATGAGCCATCACTATACTTTATCCCAAAGTTATGCCCTTGTAAAGGTTCTCTTACCTAGAGAAAAAGGAACCAAAGCTTCTTTCTTGGCAAAATATCCACTGCTGTCTAGAAATCGCTCAGGATAGAACACATCTGGGTCTCTCCAGTACTTCTCATCAAAGTGTACAGAATAAAGATTTGTAATTACTGTTGTGCCTTTTGGAATGGAATAACCACGTACAACTGTATCTTCAGAGGTTGCATGGAAAATGCCTAGTGGAACTATATTACAAAATCTTAAAACTTCATGCAAAACTGCCTCAGTATAAGGCATTCTGCATTTGTTGTCCCAAGAAGGCTTCCCATCGCGGCCCATAATTAAATCAATCTCTTTCTGAACTTGTCCTGTCAGAGAAAAAGTGTTCCAGTTATTAAGAAATTCTTAAAATTATATCTAAAGTAATCCTGTTTGGGGATAAAACATAGGATAATCTATGACATGGGTACAACTAGAGTCAGATTTTTTTAAATGTGGGAGTTTTACTTAAACTTACACTATGTACTCCTATCAGACACTGATAAGCAATGCTGTGGCTAATTCAGTTGTGAAAAACAAACTAGGGTTGAGGCTCCAGATCTGCTACTTCCAGACACTCAGCTTTTTCCTTATTTATGAAAACAGGTATAACAAAACTTATCTCAGAACTTTTTTATGTAAACTTCTTAGATTATTGATTTGAAAATTCTTTACAACTATTAAATGTTTCTCTTACTGGTTAGTACAACAGGAGTACCTAAGGAAAATGCTTTGTACATGACCAAAGACATTGAAACATGTACAAGCCCTACATGTAAGAGTAGACCCTGAGATTATTATGCAAATTCTTACCTTGAATGTCAGGGTAAAGGGCCATGAAAAGAATCGCCCACCGTAGCACATTGGTTGTAGTTTCAGTTCCAGCAATGATGAGCTCACCCACTGAAAAAATTAGGTTTTCTTTGGAAAAAGTAGATAATGGATCATTTTTACCTTGATCCATTTCATCTAAATATGCATCAACAAAATGCTGAGGTAACTGAGGCTGTCTTTTGACTGAAGCCTTTTCAATAAGTCTGGAGAGGAAATCATGGACCACTGCTGCATTTCTAAACAGCTGTTGATGTTTTCCAAAAGGTAAGATGTCAATCCATGGAAAGGCATTGTACAGGAAGACTGAGGCACTGGCAGCTAGTTCCACGTTTTCACTAAATAACTCAATCATGTGTTGGAAGTCTGTGTCTTCATAACGGAATCTTTCTCCAAAAATGATCAGATTGGTTATGTTTGATACAGCATTCGTTATTAATTGTTTAAAGTCAAATGGTCTACCTTTGTATGTTTCAATAGCATCGATGAAAAAAATTGTTTCCTCTAAGATTTTAGATTCAAAAGACTTTTGGCCATATCCAAAATAGCGAAAGCTGTTTACAGCTAATCTTCTGTGATCAACCCATCCTCGGCCATATCTGGAATTAAGTAAGCCTGGGAAAAAAAATCATTAAACAAATAAAGTTTCTACCTTCCTTGTATCTAATAGTCAAAAATGCAACAAAATAAAAAAAGAATAAAAATACTGTTATTCATTCTTCCCTAAGCTCTCTTTCTTTATACCTAGATGGTTGGGTCCTATTGTTGCTTTTCATTAGTCATACAATATTTTTTGTCATACAATATTATAGCAAAAAGCCTTTCTACTCCTCATGTGTGAATTGGCGAAGACCTATGATTCTCCTACCATAAAAAACTGGCAAGTCTTATATAATTCAATTGGGTAAACTAGGTTTGGTGATTTTATTATTCAACTTTTATTATAAGCCTAATTCACATAAGACAAATGACTGCATGTTTGTCAGAACAACTTTATCTTCAACTTAACAGCCAAAAATTGTTATTCTAGTATTAGAAATGTCCCGCTTTCAACAAAGAACAGCCCTTGTCTAGACTGTTGAAGAACAGTTCACTTAGTTTTTTTATTCCATTATTTCTTTTTCTTTATGTTTATTTTTCTTTCTTGGACCAAACAGGAGAGGGAGGAGTAATGAGGGGGAAGGAAGAAGGGTGCAGTGGAAAGAATTACTATGTTCCTAATGTTGTCATTATAAAATACATACAAAAAATTTTTAAAATAAAGTGATGATAGCTTGAAAGAAAAAAAATGTCCTGCTTAAGAGCTGGATTTTAGAATACAAATTTATTCTTGCTAAAGGCATATGATAACAGGGAAGCTATGATAAAAACAAAGGTAGTCCAAATAAATTGTCAATGTCATAGAAATGCTTAAGTCAAAAGGTGGGCAAACAGGAACGACCAAACTTTTTTAATGTTAATATTGCTTGCCTTAGAATTTCAGAGTCTACATACACCAAGTATCTGCCATCCTGATATAGTTATCATGGAAAATTTCTGCTTTCAACACCACAGTTGATATACCTCCAAGATCTAAACTGAAGATCTTTAAAAATCTGCATTTAACTGTCAGAATATATGGGAGAAATATAACCATGGAAATCCACAGGTGCTAAACTTCACTCTCCCAGTATTTGTTACTTCCCTGAAAATGAAGGCATTTATCATGCAACTGACAATGTTTAGAGTGTTTTAAATTAACTATCAAAGAAAAATACCAACATCTTCAGTGCACAACTTATATACCTTGCAGGAGATTTCATTCATTATTGGGACACACATGAACCTGTGATGAAGAATGTCATTTTTTCAAGTATATATGAAAAACATATAAAATTTATATTTCAACAACTTGTTCAATGATTTTTTAATTTGGAGATTATAAAGTTAATCATATGTAAATAGGTCTTTAGCACTATATACAAATCTTATATTCCCACAGTCCATTTTCTTTTCTACACTACTGGTTGATTATTCATTCAACCAATATTCTTTCAATATGTATTTATAAAGCAGTAAGTATATTCTAGGCATACTGCTTTGGGAGTGTCAGAGGATGTATCAGGTGAATATTCTGTACTTTCATGGAACTTATATACTAGTAGGAGAGACAAACGAATAAATGATACAGCAAAGAATGAAATAGGGTGGTCAAAGAAAGCTTCACTGAGGTGACATTTGAGTAAAGACTTAAGGGAGATGAGAGAGTAGGTGAAGAACATCCGGGGGAAACACTGCAGGTAGAAGAAATATGTATGCTGTATAAAGGAGTGAGCTCACAGTAAGCCCTGGGGAAATGTATACGCATGTATAAGCAGAAGAGCACTGTTCATAACCCTACACTGACCAACCCGTGCCCCTGGGCCCATGCAAAGGGCAACTTTTCACATTTGCACAGAAAGCTGATGGTGGCCATGATTTTCCAGTTTCAAGTTCAATACACTTATTTATTTATTTGAAAGAGTTACACAGAGAGAGAAGGAAAAACAGAGAGAGAGAGAGAGGTCTTCCATCTGCTGGTTCACTTCCCAATTGGCTGCAACCACTGGAACTGCGCCAGGAGCCAGGAGATTTTTCTGGGTCTACCACGTGGGTGCAGGGGCCTAAGGACTTGGGCCATCTTCTACTGCTTTCGCAGGTCATAGCAGAGAGCTGGATCAGAAGTGGAGCAGTTGGGACTCGAACTGGCCCCCATAAGGGATGCCAGCACTGCAGGTGGCAGCTTTACCTGCTATGCCACAGTGCCAGCCCCAACAATACACATATTTAAAAATAGCATAATTTCCTATCTATTTGTCTTTACTGTTTTTTGAAGATCTTGCTTTATCTTTATTATATAAATAATGTAGGGTATAAATTTACATCTAAAAAATGTTTGTTTCAACAGTTACTCTTATCATATCATCTTTGGTTTTCATTTCTTTAATGGTTTTCCATTATAATTATGATTTCTTCTTTGGCTTAACTGTTATATAGAAGACACAAGAGATTTGATTTTTATTTCTGCTTTGAGTATCATCTTACTCTGGCTTGAGAATTTGGCTTTTAAAATTCATGCTTTCTTTATATTACTTGATCTATTTTGTTATTTAACATAGGAGTTTAATTTTTTCTTTTCAACCAGTCTCTTTATGTTTAGTGTATGTAAACAAGATATTGTTAACTTTTTTGAAATTAAGTGTGTCTCATTAAATCAGGACATTTTGATTGTAAAAATTCTTACACTACTATCAAAACCATTATATCTATCTCAACACTTTACTTTATGCTTTCTGTTGCTGCTTTCTTCTTACTAATTCTGTCAACTTTCAAACTTTCTTGTCGAATATAGAATCATTCTACACTAAACCACACAGAATGAATAGTTCTTTTCACAAACCATTTACATATCATAGTGATTAAGAAAGGCTGCTCCAGGTTCTGTAATCTTATAAGGAAAATCACAGTAAAAATGCCACCAAGTACTCAAGACTGGCTTTAAAAGGCACCTCTGATTCTACTGTGTATTTATGTGTTACTAACTTTTTCACAAAACCTATAGATATTATGTGCTAACACTTTAAAACATTTTTTTTCCTAGAGAAAAATCACAGGCCTTATTCCTTCAGAGTACCTCAGACTCCATGGTATTTTTCATTTATTACATTTGATTAACATGATTGATTGCCAATCTCAAACAAATCATTCACAGCACACTATCCAGTAAAACACTATTTTGAACATTTACCAGAACTGGATTATAAAAGAATTAGCATTTACTAGTCTAAAATATGAGTGTAATATAGCCTGCAAGGTCCTCAAATTCTAGGTTTTGTAATTAAGTAAATAAATATGAGTAGATACTTTCCTGTTAATCAGAATAAAAGAATCCCAACTCTATGCACCAAAATTACTTACAACAAAGAATATGATTTAAAACAGTTAAGTAAATAGGTGAAAATAAACATACCTCCCATTTTTGTCATCTTCATAAATAAAGGAAGACATGGTCTATCTGCAAAAATTTCACTTTGATGAACAAGGCATTCCTTTACTATGTCATATCCATTTAGAACCACAGTTAATATGCCTCCAAGATCTAAACTGAAGATCTTTGAGAAGAAAAGAAGAAAAACAATTTAACTGGTGAACTGTATAGAAATCTACAGGTGCTAAGCCCTACTCGCCCAGTATGTTACTTCCCTAAAAATGAAGCAATTACTCAATTGACAATGTTTAGAGTGCTTTCCTTCTATAAAGCGTGTGAAACAGGGATCTGATTACACCATTCAGTATTATAAATGGTATAATGGTAAGAGTATTGGACTCAGGAAGCCTTAAACACATACAAGAACCTGGAAAGAACTCTTACCCTTTTGGGACTTCAGTGTTGCCACAGGAAATACTTTTTATTTAGATGCTCTGTTAAGATTCATTCTACCTCAAAACATTCAATGATATCTAGCAATCTCCTTTTATTTTCCACATGAATGAATAGCACTATCTATGTATTATTACCCCAGTCTTAGGTTGGACAGGGGATTGCCCAAGGCCTGAGAGACTAGTTTTAAAAACAAATATATTGTAATTATGCTCTATGGCTTACATGAAATTAACCAACAGAACCTGGCCTTGCAGGAAAGGAATTCACCATGTTGGTATAGGTAGCTGCCCTTAAGCTAAGGGGAGGGCAAAACAGAATATTTACCCTAAGCTTTGTCGGAGTTGTTGGTCACGTGCCTCACCTCATGTTAAATTAAATGTCATACTTCCAATAGTCTGTTCTAGTTAACCCAACATAAGGGGCTAGTCTAGTGACAGAATGTTACTTTATCAGTGGGATGCAAAGATTGCTTATCACCAACCTCTCCTGTCAAAACCTGAGAGCTTTTTATGGTTAAAATAGAAGCTTTATAGGGGCCAATGTGGTGGCACAGGTTAATCCTCCACCTGCAGCGCCCGCATCCCATATGGACGCCGGTTCTTGTCCCGGCTGCTCCTCTTCCAATCCAGCTCTCTGTGGTGGCCTGGAAGAGCAGCAGAAGATGGCTCAAGTCCTTGGGTCCCTGCACCCATGTGGGAGACTGGAAGAAGCTCTTGGCTCCTGGCTTCCGATTGGTGCAGCTCTGGCCATTGTGGCCATTTTGGGAGCGAACCAGTGGACAGAAGACCTTTCTCTCTGTCTCTCCTTGTCACTGTCTGTAACTCTAACTCTCAAATAAATAAATAAATAATCTTTCCAAAAAATAGAAGTTTTATTGCTGCTCAAGCAATCAGAGCAGATTTCATTCTATTTGGTACATACTTCAGAAGAAAAAAAGGTTTAACATAGAACAAAAGTTCAGTAGAAGTGGTTACATTGGCAAGAGTGATGAAGATTACCAAATGGTAACAGAATCTTCTAGCTAAGTGATAGGGCCAGCAGAGTCTTTGGCACAAGGTTGGGCCCTAGCCAACCCATCAATAGGCACAGGCAGTACCTTGGGGAAAGAGCACAGAATGTCTGCAATAAGCAGTGTTATTAGTCAAAAGTAGCAGTGAAAGAATTTTCAGCACAAAGGGAATGGTTGCCAGCCAAGCAAAGGAGGAGGGACCCTTCTAAAGGAGTTCCTAAAGAGGTAATGTTATAGTATTAAAGTCTTTTCCTGGAGGTGTAATTTTAGCAGAGATAATGGAAGGATGGCATTAATAGGAAGTGGTCCTAATTCAGAATAAAAACAGACTAACTGATGATTGCATAAGGATGAGGAAAGACCCTGACATTGAAAGTTGAGTTAGTATGAAGGCAGACCAGAGGGGAGACAAATTATTTCAGAGTAAAGCTGCAGGCTGTGAACACTAGGAATTCTAAAACCCAAAGAGAAGCCATGACTTAAGAAAGTTATTACACAAGTCACCTTTACTCAAGAATTTGTGTTGGTCCTCTATTTGAGGGTGGGAGCAGGGAAATTTTTACTTGACCTAGTATTTATTCTGGTATACAATGTTCTCAAGGACTTTCAATGAAGGGTTTCTAGTCAAATTCTAGAAACTTATCCTTAAACTGCTTTGGCCTATGGAAAAACCCATGATTATGTTCATACATTCTTTGATCTAAATAATTTTTTTTGACAGGCAGAGTTAGTCAGCAAGAGAGAGACAGAGAGAAAGGTCTTCCTTTCGTTGGTTCACCCCCCAAATGGCCACTATGGCCACTGCGTTGTGCTGATCTGAAGCCAGGAGCCAGGTGCTTCCTCTTGGTCTCCCATGCGGGTGCTGGGCCCAAGCACTTGGGCCATCCTCCACTGCCTTCCCAGGCCACAGCAGAGAGCTGGACTGGAAGAGGAGCAACCGGGACAGAATCTGGCGCCCCAACCGGAACTAGAACCCGGGCTACCGGCGCCACAGGCAGAGGATTAGCCTAGTGAGCTGCAGCGCTGGCCTGATCTAAATAACTTTTAGTAACTATTATGGAATAGTTATGATGCTGGCAAAAATGGAGAAATGAATACATGAAATGTTTTCTTTGCCTTTCTAGAAGTTACTCTATGATCTTCAAGCCTCTTCCATTTCCTCCAAACCAGCTCAACACAGAATACTTATTTCAGTTAATGGGAACTCCATCCTTGAAGTTGTTCAAGCCAAAAACCTAGCAGCCACCCATGCTGAGTCATTATTTTCTCCCAAATTCCACATCCATCTGCTCAGAAGTCATGTTTCCTATATTTAGAACGTAAACAGAATCTGACAATTTTTTATCACCTGCATCACTGACATCCTGGTCCAAGCCACCTGAAGTCTTACTTATATTTTCAGTAGCCTCCCAACTGGCCTCACTAAACTCACTCATCTCTTTACAGGTAATTTGCAACATGGCATACTCCTGTTTCATAGCCTGCATCCTTGCTCTTCTTTTGATCTAGAATGTTTGTACCCTAGATTCTCCTGTATCTTGCTCCATTTCCTTTAAGTCTGTCCAAGTGCTATCTTTGCAGTGATGCCTGCTCTAACTAACCATTCTCTATCTCCCTTACCCTTTTGTAGTTTACTTCATACTTTGTACTCTTCTCACATAGAGTATTTTTAATGCATCTACATTATGTTTTTACCTCACCAAAATTTAAGTTACATGAGGGAAGGGGTCTCTGTTTTGTTTACCACTGTAGTTCTAGTACCTATGATAGTACATGGCATTATGATGATGATCTATAAATTTATGTTGAATTAATGAATGGCAAAGACCTATGTTTAAGCATATTATTACAATATCAATGGCTAAGTGCTAGTAGCAAATGAACGTGCAAAATGCTGTTGATGAAAACTATTAAGTGCCACATTTTCAACTTTAACTTGGTCTGTTTTTTCCTTTGGAATACCGCCCTTGACTGCTATACTATCTACCCCACACCAAGTCTTCAGGGATTATTCTCCATGAAGCCCTTCTCACTGAATACTTTTTCTCTCTGTTTTGAACCACCACAGCACATGTTTAGAAAATCCTATGGCACTTATTTAATACTACCTTGAACCAGAAACATTCATATTCTTGTCTTCTGCCTGCCTACTGAATTATAACTCAGATGCAGGGACTGAATCCCTTTATCTTTGAATCTTCCACATAATCTTATTCAGTACCTACAAAAAGTTCTCAGTAAATGGTTGCTACAAAAACAAATCAGTAAGTTGTCATTCCACTTGCTTTGAAGTAAAGGAGTTATTTTATTTCCCTTAGCCTGAAAACAATTTGAGAAAGCCACCTGAATTGACTTTGCTAGCTAGGGAACGCTTCTCAAAATCTAGATTACCATTAAAAGTCACAACAGAAGTTTAAACATTCAGAGGGAATCTTCAAGGAAATGGTTATTCAACATGGTACACTTCTAATTAAGACTTGCCTTTAAAATGAATGTGTAAGTCCCTTGTACTGGGGTGGGGGTGGTCTTCAAGAATTATAAAGGAGAACTGAATTCATAGGCTGTATAAAAGTTGATGTTAAAGTAACTGTCATAAGCAATTGTAAAGTCCAGGTATTTTTTTATAAGCACACATATAAAATTATAAAGACAATGGAAAAATAAGATTCTATTTACAAACATGTCCTGTAAACTTTTCACAGCTTCCAAAAATATAGGTGGTAATATTCTCCTTCTACCTCAACAAAAGGTATGGTATTTTACAACTTATATAAACTTTGAGGTTTTGGCAGAATTGGGAAATATCTCCAAGATAACAGAAGACTTTTAGGGTTGCTTCATAATCAGGGTAAGGATCAAATGCTTCTGTAGCTTAAAGAGTTAATATTTGGGGACCAGCATTGTGGCCCAAGGGATAAAGCTGCCACCTGCAAGGCTAGCATTCCACATGGGCACTGACCCGTGTCCTGGTTGCTCCACTTCCAGTTCAGCTCCCTGCAAATGACCTGAGAAAAGCAGCAGAAGATGGTGCACGTGCTGGGCCCCTGCCACCCACGTGGAAGGCCCAGATGAAGCTCCACGTGGGTGGCAGAGGCCCAAGCACATGGACCATCTTCTGCTTTCCCAGGTGCTTTAGCAGGAAGCTGGATCTGAAGTAGAGCAGCCAGGACTTGAACTGATGCCCATTTGGGATGGTGGCACTGCAGGTGTTGGCCTTATCCACTATACCACAGTGCTGGCCCCTAAATAAATCTTTAAAAAAAGTTAATGTTTGCTGGTTATCAAATTTAACTGTAAGGTAGAGTCAGGCAAACACTGGCTACTCTTCAATGTGTAAATAGTTTCAATTTTTCTAATAATTATTTCAGGTTTCTACAGTTCAACAGTGATTTGCATTACTAAAGGGAACCTGGTTTAATATATTTGATCTCTTTGATTTGTTATGTTTCCACATCTTGTGATTTCTCCATAATATCATGCTGCTTTGTGACAAACATATCAAAGAGATCAAATATATTAAACAGAAATCATGGAAATAAACTCTGGAGAATGGGGGAGGGTAGATAAAACTTAAGAATTATATATATTTTCTTGATCGATGTCCAGGTTCCCTTTAGCAATGCCAACCACTATTGAGCTGCAGAAGCCTGAAATAATTCTTAGACAAATTGATTTAAGTAAGGATTTAAGCACTAACCTGAAATATAATTGCTATACAGCCTTTAACCACAGTTTATCGCTGGAATTCGTTTTCTCTCTCCCTCTGGACTGTTAACTCCCTTCTGGACACTTCGGCCTTTTGAGATAAGGGCACCCTTCCAAACACAAGCACTGTGTTCCTGTCTTTTTCGGGGTGGGGGGTGTCATTCAGTTTTTCTATGTGAAAATGGGGAAAACTTGAAACACCTACCTCACCAGGTGGCTGTGAGATTTAAATGAGTCAACAAGTTGTTCGAGAGAGCAGCACACAGGTGGCACCTTATAAGTACATGCTCTAAGGGCGTTCCTGGCCAATCTGAACCTCGCTCACGCAGGGCTGCAGGGCTCCCGCGCTGTTTTGCGTCATTAGTTCTACGCACGCTTTTCCTATTAACCACAGCCCGCTTCTTGGCGGGACGTTCACTCCATTCTACTTTGAATCCTCACAGCAAACGCTTACACCACTTGTTAGTCAATAGCAAGCCTCGAAGAACCTCCCATAACCATTAACTATAACCAGGCCCCAGAATTCAGGCTGCCGCTACTTTTTGCTCAAGCCAAGCAGTGAACTCTAACCTGCGGGCGATCGCGGCCCGCAGCCTGCGCCCGGCCTACCCGAGAACCACACTGCGCACGCGCGGGAGCTCCGGGGCGCCGAGCGCGCGCTCCCCTCCGAAGCGAGGAACCCCGGCCCCGATCGCTTCAGAGCGCAGGCTGGAGTGGGGCGGCCCATTGGTGGAGGGGGTGGGCGAAGTGAGCGGGTTTTCCTCAGCAGAAGTTGCCAGCACACAGAAATCTCGGCTCCTCGAACCGGAACTGGCCTCCAGTCCAACCTACAGGGAGACCCAAGCCAGCCCGGAGGCCAGGACGGCGGCCCTCCCTGCTCGCGGCCCGTCGGTCGGGGCTGTACCTCGCCGTACACTTGGCTCTGCTTTCTCATGTAGACATGGGGAGGGTCGGCTGAGGCGGCCAGGGAGTAGATGTTGCCGATAAACGGTAGCCCCGGAGGCCCCGGGGGAAAGCCCACCGGCCGCCTCCGCTTCAGCAGCTGGCGTCCCCACAGTGCAAAGAGCAGTAGGAAGAGCGCGCCGCCCAGCGCCGCCGCGCACTCCTCAGCTCCCGAAGTTTCCCGCATCGGTCCGAGTTGGGGCCGCGTTCCCCTCGGTCAGGCTGGGACAGGGACGACCCCTTCAATCTTGCCACGTTCTCATTGGCCCAATTTCCTGAGGTACCGCCCTTGCTCCATGGCCATTGGTTACCTGAGTGTAGGGCGGTCCCCAGGGCAGCTACCTCATGGCTTTGCCCACTCAACTGCTTTCCGACCCTTTGGATTTGGCGGGGTTTAGGGGGAACCAAGCTGGCAGGACAACCTTCAAGGTTGGCACCAGGGCGTTGAGAACGCAATCACTGGAAGAATCCTGCCTGCCTCCTTGGATGGCCAGCCCTTTCTGAAGGAATCTTTCTAGTGTCAGGTCTACTTATTAAAGACTAGGAAAACTGAACTTCTGTGGGCTTTAGCTGAGCCTGATAATTTTCAGAATTTCCTTCCATTAGAGAGTGCACGCCTGTTCTGCTTTACTTACTCATCTATTTCTTTCCTCATGTTATGAGGCATTTTTGTTGCTGATCCTTTAAGAATTTTCATGAGTAAGCAATTGTTATGCAATTAACTCAGGTAACTTGTGTTTTCACTTCTCTGGTCCTGCCAAACTGGTTGCTGATTGGTAGTCACAGAGGTCTGTGTACGCTGCAGTTGCTCAGGGATAGTACTTAAGCTTTCTACCTATACTACCTAGAATTAAACAACCAATATTTCATATTATTCTTATCATTTCAGTTTCTGTTCTGTTTTTAATCAACACAGAACCTACAGAACTTGGGACTCTCTAAAAGCTGCCCTGTAATTATGATTTAACGTTGGTGGGAATTTTGTGGTCCTCATTAGCCTAGCTTTCATGAATACAGCACTTAGGCAGGTGTTAGGCAGGTGTCGTAAGCACTGAGATAGAGAGGTAAATAAGAGCAACAAAGCCCCTACAGGGTATATTTTATAGAGTCTCCACTTACAGAATAGCTACCGACTGCTTATTACAAATGCCTTATCTGTTATCCTTAGAGAGTCCTTAAAGTTCTTATTAATCGATTGTGAGAAACAACCTCACCCGTCCACTCAAAGGATGGATTCAGACAGGAAGTTCACCAAAGTGAGACTTTATTAATTATCTCACAAGACTGGGTGCCTAGTGGCCCAGCACACCCAGGGGTGGTTTATAGCAAGCTGTTCATTTTCTAGCACGCAGGTCTCTCCCCCTGTTCCTCACTGGCTGAGTAACTGTGGGGTTATGCTCTTGCCTGCATTTGTTTCAGCTGTTTTGGCCACTAACATCCTGTTTGCCTAAGAACTTTCAGATGCATGTAACCCAGATTTTAGCTAGTTACTTGTCTGCAAGCTCTTATGCCAGTTTGTTGTCTTCTCAGATTTAAAACCTTTGAAAATGAACCCAATGTTTATTTCTCACATCAATCAAGAAACTACTATCAGAATGGAAAAACAATAGTACAGGTTATTGCTAAACTTAGTCTCTACTGTTATAATGGCAGATGTGGGACCAGGATGCTGATGCCCAGGAATGGGGAGTATCACCGGCCAGACATGTGAGGTCAACCTTGCCTTCTCTGACATCATCAGGTTTGCAGAATCTGGCCTGACCACAGCAGTTATACAATACAGGCCCTCAATTCAGGAATGGCCACTTTCTGTCTTTTCAAAAAAGGTTCATTTTCATTCCAAAAATGTCATCTAATTAATTTAAAGGACCTCCCTTCTTTGGTGTTCTTTCCTTGGCAACATTAGCATAGGAAAGCTCAGAGTTGCCCCTCCCTCAGCCCCTGTCCGGCTAACAGCACTGTTGAGATGTGCTTCCTTGTCCATTAGGGGATATTTGGGTGGGGGTGGGTTTCTCAGGAATAACTAGACATCTTCAGAACACAGCTTTCCCAGTAACTATTCCTCATATTCATAGTGCTCAGCAAAGGGAAATAGTTGCTTGTGGTCCCTGTCCTTGCATTTACCCTTTCAGTGGTAGAAACTGATCAATAACATGTATTTGTGGCTTCTATAACTACAGGGATGTTTGCAGGAACCAGATGTAAAGGATTTCACTGTTTCATGCCAGAAACCCCATTTTCAGTATGCAAGATGGAATAGGTAAATAGCCTGTACAGGCATGTGCCATTTCTGTGTGTATGGTCATGGATTCAACAGGCAACAGTGCAGTTATGCTCAAATGACAGTACTTTTTCAGCCTTTGGAACCCTTACCTCTAGTATTTATCCTGAGAGGTAGCATCAGGTGAGGGTGTCTTGTGGGCTTCTGCCACTTCTTGGATGGCTGCAGCCCTAGCCAGGGCCCTGGGTGCTTGCCCCATGGGACTCCCCCAGCTCAGAGTGATGCAGCGAGCACAAATTTTCCTCTGTGCATTTTCCATTATATGCTTCATGGTATAGTTCATCAAAATGGAAGTGAGAGTCAGAAGTGCCAAGCAGAACTGAGCCTAAGACAAAAGAAAAAAAAATACTGATCTTACCTTACTAAAAATTTAATATCTTGTTCACATGGCTTTTTGCTTAATTTTTCTTTTAATGTGTTGCATTGAAATATTATCTTGATTACTGAGGTTTTAGATGCCCTCTTGAATTTTGCTACCAAAGTGCGCTCCTCAACCTAGTCCTGGGTTACCAAATGATGTGGATTACAAACTGGGGTGTAGGAACTGGGTTTGCTCAGGTTTTCATAGTGCTCTTAGGAGCCAGTCACTGAGGTAGGGCTGGCAGAGCAGTGGCACCTCTGAGTGGGATTTAAGGAAACTCCTTTGACTGATAAAAATGAATCCCCTACCCCATTGTTTAAAGTTCAGTCTTTACAAATTAACTTATGTAAGTTAAACTATCCCCAAAATGGGCTGGTTAGAAAATACAAACCCTGGTGGCAAGAGAATAGAGTGTTAAGAGGTACCTAAAACTGTATTTATATGTGAAAGAGTTTATCCCAACATTCAGAGGCAAGATAGAATGGAAGGCATGATGGCCCTGATCTGCTGAAGTTGGCCACATGGTGATGATGATGGTAATGAGTTTGAGAATTTAAGAGAGGGAAACAGAAAGAAGTTTCTTATGGAAACTCTTCACAATTCTTCCAAAGACTAGAATGGCTTAGAACCAGGAGCCATTTCTGCCATTTCCTAGAGTAGGTCAACCTAACAACTTCCTGGCACTTTCTCCCCTCTAGTTTCCCACTGGACCATTTTCTATTCTTGACATCGTGTGTTCCTTTCCTTGTGTTTAAATGGAATAGAAATCTAAAAGGGGATGAACAACTGACCACTTTGTTGAAGACCCTTTTCCAAATGTAGCAAGAGTCAGGAACCAGATGTAAAGGAGGTATAACTTTCTGTTCAAGGTCATACAAGACAGCACCATTGGAACCAGAATTCTGGGCTCTGTACTTGTCATGCGTTCTTTCAGTCATTCATCACAAAATTATTGAAAACCTACTAAAATAGTTGTTGGGGATATAATGGTTAGCAAAAGTAGTCATGGTCCCTACTTTTGTGGGGTTTACAGTCTATTAGAGGGCACAAACATTAGTCAGACTATCACATAAACTCATTTTTATAACATTTACATTTTCTGAAATATAGAAACAATTCTGTAAACACAGAAAATGTGATCAGTCGTGGAATCAGTGATTACAGTCTGGAATGTGGAATCAGCTTATACCCAGGTATTCTGCATGACCAGTTCATGCCAAGTTTTGCTGAAATCCTTCCTTAGCAACTTTTTTTTTTTTCCCATGGGAAGGGAAGGGAAGGAAAAGTGGACTCAGAGAGATACAAAAGTTCTAATTTGAAATCTTCTTTCTCTTGCTTCACAATGATTTTTTTCTTTTTTTAAAAATAAACTTTTAAAAACTTACTATTTGACAGGCAAAGAGACAGAGAGACAGAAATCCCATTTGCTGGTTTATTCCCCAAATGCCTACAATAGCAGGGGCTGCATCAGGCCAAAGCCAAGATCCAGGAACCCAATCTAGCTCTCCCATGGGATAACAGAGAACAACTACCGAAACCATCACCTGCTGCCTCCCAGTATTTGTATTAACAGGAAGCTGGAATTGGGAGCAGAGCTGGGACCTGAACCTAGATACTCTGATATGGGATGCAGGTATCTCAGCTGGCATCTTAACTGCTAGGCCAAAATACATGTCCCTGCACATTATTTTCTTAAACATTCTTCTGTGTCTTCTGAAGATAGTATACTGTATTCTGAAAAGAGTAGACTTGAAGAAGCAATGTAAACAGATTGAATTATTACAGTAACTATACCAGCCATATCAAAAATTACACTAGGCAATCTGATCATGAGGAACAAAAAAAGAATTATAAAATATAGATGTAAGAAAACAAAAGGTACAACAGATGGGATCATTTAGAGTAGGAAATGCCAATCCCACACATTTCAAAGCCTGAGGGCATCACTTATAGTACAACAGATTATATTAACCCATGTGCTCATTAAATGCACATCCTCATCAAAGATTAAAGTGATTTTATAGCACTCCAAGAGTGCAAGGGTACTGTGTGGTGTATTTTTTGGACTATTTAATGAAATTTCTAAAAAAAAACAAAACAAAACTAGCACTTGAAGGATTAACTTCAATGATCTAGAAAACACTCCTAAAAGACACAGGAAAAGAATCATTTGGCCTTTGGCTCTTAGCCAAAATATGAATTTAATGATTGAGGAACATAAGTTGAGAAATTCTTTGATGTCATTTGTGGAACTTGTCCACCAGCTGGACCTGTGTCTGAGTGCTGTATCTTAGACCATCACACTCAGGGAAGA